TATAAATGTATAAGTAGAGCTCAAAGACCTAGATTCTAAACGAGATATACCCGAGTGTCGAAAATTTTATTCCATCGTTTTCAACTTCATCATAAAATCGAGATGATCTTATTCTTCTTCCCGAGAAGAAAGACCCTTATAAATAAATCTTGTTTATTACAGTTTGCATTTCATCATTTTATCTCGCGCAGTTTCTCTTCTTTGTATTTTATTATTATTAGAAAAAGAAAGTTCTTTAAAAAAGAAGAGCGCAAAAATTAAAAAAAAAACGAAAAAAAAAAGAAGAGTAGAGATACCAAGATATCGAGGTTCTTCGCAGCAATTTTTTTATGCAGTTTCTCTCTCGAAAATTATTGGACATTATTTAATCTTAATTCGAAGAAAATAAAAAGACTCGTAATTTAGGTAATATTTACAATATTACCTAACTTTTCTTTTTATTTCTCAACGATCAAGGGATAAAAAGAGTTCTCATCTTCGCGTTCTAACTTTCTTCAAAGATTTTTCACGCGAAAAGAGATCCACTTTTCCGTTACACGTTTCTTTTTAAAAAGCTATGTCATATCAGTTCGAAAAGTAATTCTCGATAAAACGGCAATATTCTTTCGCAATAAATATCCACGTAAGTACGAAGGAGAAAAGTATCTGTTCGTGAAAAGGTGGCAAATTTTTATTGGAGGAATTTTATTTCAAAAAAAAAAAAGCAATTTAAGAGTTTTTGAAAAATTTGTTTGCCAAGTTGAATTATCATTTTATAATAGCACATGAAAAAATTATCGTGTGTGACATTCAATAAAAGGAAAAATTCCTACCTGATTATGCACATTTCTTCTCCATTTTTCGTAGTATTTATGCAAATAACATTTTATCACAAAATTTATATCACGAAAATAAAGTTTATTATGAATTTTTTTTTTCAGAAACGTGAGTTGTTATTACGTGAAAATTTCAATTTGAAGAATTTTTTTCAATATTTTAATAACAAATCATGTATCAATAATGATAAGAAAAAAACCTATTAGGCCACTCAGCGATTTTAAACTTTGTTTTAAAGAAGGGGACAAGATTTAGAAAACAAATATAAAGATCCAAAAATAATTTTTATTATCATTTACTATTAAAAATTAAGAATATATCTTAATATTCGTTATTCAAAAATTCAAATATTCATAATCTATTTTACCCAATATCGTTATCCACTATATTAAAAAATTAAAAATATTCCGTCAACAATTCCTCAAGGTTCAATATTAAAATTTCCATCCACTTGAAATTCACCCTCTCGAGACTATGCGTCTTCGATATACATTAAAACGACGACAGAAGATGTTACAAGATAAACAAGAAGAGGTCTCCGAGTTGAAGAGAAGAATGTCGCGGATATCCTACGAGATTATATTCGTTAATCGAACATTAATCTTCGAAGACACGCCACCCCGGAAGTGTATTAAACGAGATTCGTGAATTAATCCGGTTTAAATTCTATTCGCAATAAAGCAAGAGGAAGGTTTTAAATGATTTTTTTAAAGAAAATTTAAATCAAACTCGATATTTCTTAGAAATGAATAGATAAATCTTATATTAATTTCAATTAATTAATTCAAATAGTCACAATTCCCTTTGTGTTTTCCATAATTTTTATCTTCCTTATAAAAAGAACAAAATTAATAATTTCATTTTTCAGAGATAATATTGAAATTATTATTAATAATGCAATGGGAAAAAATTTTTTGAAAAAAAGAAAATATTTAAATAAATAATTTCATTCTACATTAGAAATAATTTCAACGAATCAACCCTCGCAAAAAGCAAATTCGAATGTTTTATTAAAAATCACATTTAATTTAAATCGAATCTCCTAATTAACACCTGTCAGTGATTTTTTAAAAACGATTAAAATTAATTAAAAAAAAAATCACAATTCTTCATCTCAACATCCGCAACAACTTTGATCTCTCCTCTAAAAAAAAGAATACACGGCTCCATCCTTTATTAATTTCAACGAACCTCCACCACCAACCAACCCCTCTCAGCCAGCGATCAGAAGCTATTAAAATCACGTTGGCCGTGATTCCGTGGAATTCCAGAGGGGCCGATTTTAAACGATGGAAACGTTGAAGTAGCGGCAGATACGAAAAAAATATTGTTATATCATTTCCAATAGGAAGAAGGGGCCACGATACCGGAATATTAATGGGGGTGGTTCTCCTCCGTTCGATCACGTAAAGGAAACGTGCCGCTCTGTTTCTTTCTGCCCGACCAGAAGTATAGCAATAAGCAAAATAAGATTTTTCTCCTCTTTAATTTAACTTCATTTCGTTTAGGTTTTTTTTTTCCTCTTTTTTCTGGCAAATATACGTGTATTTCCATCTCTGTTCTTTCGTGAGAATGATTAATTTGGGAATAAGGGTGAAATTGGAAAATATTTTATTGCGTGTGCATATATTCGATGTGTTATATAAAGGGATTGTTTGAAATTTATATTTCTTATTACACGATAATTAAGATTGTATAGAAGAATATTTTAGTTTTTAAGATTAAGATGGCGAAACGATCGAAATATTTCTAGATTGGAATAGAATTAAATTCGAAATTAAATTTTTACGTCGGTTGTTTTAAAATATTGTTTTAAAAATTATTATCGATGAAGAATTTCGAATTTCAAAAACTTTAAGATTCGAATACCTGTCATCTCTATAAAAAATATTTATAACGTTTAAAACATGGCATATAATATTTCATAAAGGAAAAAAGACTAAAACGTATTATTAAAAGTATAATATAATTGATTATTTAAAATGTCTCGTTCCAAAAATTATACTCTTCAACGAATAAAAAGAAGAAATGATGTTAATACCATTATTCAACAAAAAGGACCCATAATTCATTCAATCTTTTTTAATTCAAAAGTTTCAAGGGAAATTCAACCACGAACAGTCTCCCGAGCAATTTCTTCATTCTACGCAAACTGTCAAGTCCCAAAGGATATCGAATTATAATCACACGTTGAATTCATTTAATTAAAAAAAGTTATTTCTTGCTTTACGATTTTTTACCAGCTACAACGAATAATCAATTTTATTTCATTACTCTGTTGCATCATTTTATAATTTTTAAATTAAATTTCATTAAATCCTTTCATATGTATATAAATTTCTATAAATTAAATGATTAAATAATAATAAAACGTAATAGATCGTGAATTAAAAAATAGACGATCTGATTATTTCGTAAGAGAAGATTCGTAAGAGAATTTTATTTTAGCTTATTTATATCCATTCCAAATAATTAAAATATCACGTTGCTCGAGGAAGACAAAGGAGAAAGGGTCAACGTGAAATCAGACGTCTCTGGGAGGCGACAATACTTAAGATCTGCCTTTTTGCCCGTGTAATTAAGCAACCAGATAATGATAGAACGCGACAAAGATTGTCAGAAACTTACGTTTGGTTCTTTAGTTGCCAGAAGAAATGAACGAGGAAAAAGGAAATTAGAAGACTGGGTTATGCGTGTAATTTTTAGTGAATCTTTCGTAAATTGGATGTTTATCGTGAAATATTTTATGGAAATCCTTTTTATATAAATATCATTATCAAATAATATTGTTATATCTGATTGTTTGATTTTTTTCTTAGATTTGCATAACTTCAAAAGTGTGCTATCATTTTATATTATACATCTAAGTATATTTTTATAATTCTATAATTATTGATCTTTAGATCTTTAGAATCTCGTAATTTCCCTTTTATTATTTAATTTCAAAAAGAGAGAGAGAGAGAGAGAGACGGATTTTCATCACTTTTGAGTTTTAAGATTGCTGTAAGCTTTTTGAATCTTTTTAATCTTGTGGATTTTATAAGCTTTATGCCTTATACATATGGATATTTTAAGAATTTTGAAAATTTGATGATTTTGTATGTCTTTTTGTTAGTCTTCGAATATTCAAATTTGAAAATTTTTGCCAAATTCTAACAAATATATTATTTATTGATGAAAAGATATAGATTTGTTTAAAAAGATAATCTTTTCTTTTATTAAATAATTGAATTTTTGAATATATAATTCAGAAATATATATTGAAACTTTACACTGATTCTCATGAATTTTTAAATTAAAAGATCACTTGATGATAACTTTAAAAGAAAGTTGAAAACTTCTTATAAGAAGCTTGTTAAAAAAAGAATTTGGTTTAAAAATTGCTACTTTATAAAATAAAAACTAACTCATTTAAAATTCTAATATTCTCCTTTAAGAAATATGTAATTTTTACATACATTAGGATATTGATATCATACATTTTTTCATTCCTTGTCCAAATTTAAAAATTGAACATTCTATATTAATCTAAAACATCCTATATTGGCAAATTTTTATCATTATTCTTTTTCTAAAATGAATCAATAAAAATTTGATAAATTAATTATATAAAAAACAATTTTAATCTTTCAGGCTATATAAACTTATTTAAGATTTTCATAAATCTATAGTTTCAATCTATACATATACAAGTCAAAATAGGGTCACAAGATTTTCCTAAAATTGAATTTAAAAAAAAAAAAAAACTACACTATTATTTATATAATGCTATATAAATAAAACAATTTTATGAAATACTTTTCAATATTTAAATAATTTAATATTACTGTGAAATTTTTGATGCAGATTAAAACTTAAAAAGACTTTAGCTAGATTTATTGAATTAAAACCATAAAATGGTTATTAAACTCATCTAATTTTTCTATTCTAAAATATTAAAAATAATCTTATTATTATCCCTATCTTTTAAATATTCTACAAAACAGAAAATCAAAGAAAAATGAACTCAAGCTCTTCTTTCTCTATACAATTATAATTAAAGTAATTATATTTTGAAACATACTTTTTACAATATTCAATTCTAGTTATATTTTGAAATACTTTTCTTTACCAAATTTATACAGTTTTTGCATTACGTTATTTTTCCAAACTATCAAGCTAAAGACATGCAAAAAAGTACTCACCCTTAAACGCAGCTTCAACGCCACGTAGCCTTCCAATGACAGCCGCGAGTTGTTCCTTGTGTTTTATACTGTCCTGCTCGGATTGCTCGTTGAGCGCACGTTGAAGATTCCTCTCCGCTTCTTCTTCCTTCAACGTGATCGTTTCCTGAAGATGATCGGCATGCACCTGCTCTTGCAATTTCAATTGTCGCCGCAGTTCATCGTCGAACTTTTTCTGCTCCTCCAACAACTGCAAAACAGGAACAAATTTTGATTAATCCTCTTTCAATCTGAATTTTCCATTTCTTACCGATTATCTGATTATTAAATTTTATTAGGCTATTTATTTTCGTTGATCATTTTTTGTTTTATTTAATTTTCTTATACTCGACGTGGTAAATTTTGCATAATTTCTCTTTATTTTGAGTTATTGAAATGTCAAGGAAAGAGATAAAATTTTTGGAATTAGTAATGTAAATTTGAATAAGAGAGAATTAAAAAAATGAAATGAATCCTAAGATGCAAAGAAAGAAAAAATTGTGAACGCTGTTGAACAAAATTCTTATAGAGTTCGATAGATAATATCAAAAATAATTTGTATTATAAAACTCTTATCTCATAGAAATTTGATATTTTCAAAATATAAATATTTAGAATTTACAAAAATATCGCAATCAACGCATCTCAGACTATCCTTTTATTCCCAGTTATTAATAACTCTTGAACTGAATTCCTTTTATCAAATTAATATTTATTTGATTCACGATGGTAATAAAATCGTAATATTCAGTTGAAGGAACGGCGTTAAGAATTAGGAAAGCCTGGAGCGTAGCTCGATGTAGGACAAAGAATGACAGTCAACGAAACCGCCCCTTATATTTCAAAACATTGCTTTTGGGCAACGAGGGCGTAAACAAGGGAAAAAACGACTTGATTCTTCGAGTTCCTCATCCAGAGAACAAAAGTATACACGGGGTGTCTTGGAGTACGGGAAAATATTTAAAGAAACCGTTTGCGAGACCGTTTCCTCTGTGAAAAATGTCAGACATTTTTCCATCCTCGCGTATAAGCTCTAACAATGGAAAAAATTTTTAATACAAGAATGAATTTAAAAAAAAAATTATGAGATTAACTGTTATAACTATGTTCAATTAAAAATCAAATAAGTATTTATTATTATTTAAAATGAAATAAAATTTCGTGAATTCTATTTATATTCTGATCAAAGTTCATACATATGCTCTCTATCTTTGCTTAAAAAAATAAAAAGAATGTATAACTTTAAATAAAATCCTTGTACAAGAAAACAAAAATATATTAGATATATTTTAGATAAAATATAAATGTATAAACAAACTGATATATATACTTTGAATAAGAAAAAAATCCATCCCAAGAGACAGAGAAATCAATCTTATTCTTGTTCAATCCATCTCCCTTCAGAAAAAATTCAAAAATCGAAACGATTGATTGTTTAACCAACGACCAATAACGAGTTTGACTAATAATTATCTGCGCCCCAAGGCTCCCCGCCTTATTGACAAGCGAGCCAGCCAAGCATCTGCCCTAATATCCACAGCTTTCTTCGTCGTTCTCCGCTTTCGTTTTCCGCTTGGCGGGCAATGCACACGCCTGTATCCACCCTCTTCCTGTGCGAGGGAATATCGTGTCAATAATTAACGGTCGGCTGACTCGACAAGCAGCCATGTCGAGGGTAAGAGACAACAGGGAACAACGCTGGAGACTGAAGAGCACGATACTTAGCCGCTAAATCCTTCGATCGGCCAATCCTGATCGACCCTACCTGAGGGGATCATCATCCTCGTATACAAGCATTGCAATTTTCCATCAACGCGATTGAATCAATTTTGCCGATTTAATCTTTGAAATTGGTTACGTGTAAACTATGAATATGAAAATTATTTGTCGTTTTCTTAGAATAAAAGTTGATTTCGTCGATTGGCAATGTTTGAGAAATCGACAGATTTTGTGAGAGTTATATCATGATCGTTGTTTAATATATTTGATTTAATAATATCGTTAAATTTATAATATAAAATAAGAACAAGAAAAGAATAAGAACTGCAGTCAGAAAATTACAATTAAATATATCAAGATTGATAAAAATAATATGTACACATTCTTTTATCCGTTACACAATTCATATAATAATTAATTCGATCCGAATAACGTTATATTTTTTAATCGTGAAAATGAAGAAAGAAGAAGAAGAAGAATAATATACAACATTTTAAATATCAAGATCTTAAAATGCTTCTCACGAGCAGAGCTCAAATCAGACAAGAAACAACCTCTCCTAACAACCAAATCGGTTCCGAACAATTTCTCTCGAACACGTCGGACCTCCTCGTCACGGGGACAGCCCTTGTCTGTTCACGTAACTCGAAAATTCGTCATGTATTCCCAGGCGTGAAAATCGAACAGCCTCACCGAGGGGAACAAAGAAACATAGAAAACAGCAACAAAAAAAAAAAAAAAGAAACTAAAATAGAGAGAACGAGCCTCTCTGGAATACAATGGGCCATCGAATGCGTTTCCAGTCGAAACGAAACGAGGCGCGAAGGGGTTGAAAGAAAGAAAGAAAGAAAGAAAGAAAAAAGAACATCGAAAAAGAAAAGCGTGGAGAGAG